GAAGAGCGGCGGATTCGGTAAACCAAATAATACGGAGAATCGAAGGGTCCCGCGGAGAGACGACGTATGACGATATAAAAGAGGCTATACAAATAAGTATTAGCAAAAGCTCTAGAGATATCAAACCCAAAGAGGAGAACATATACTTCTCGAGGGCCATACGAGAGATAACCAAGCAGAAAAAAGAGGCGAATCGAAAGTGGAGAAAAGCCAGAAAATATGGGGACCAGTATGAAATAGATCGGACTGAGACAGAGTTCCGAACTATGCAAAACAAACTGAAAGGCGGCCGTCAGTGAGGAAGAAAAGACAACGTTACGAGAGTCTGAGTAGACAGATTCTGAACGGACCCCGGAGTGAGAGGGCGAAGAGATTCTGGAGATATGTCTCACGACATAATAAACGGAATGATGAACCAATCCGGGTAAAGAGCCGAGATGGGAAGGAAATACCCAATGAGGCACTTGAGCAACACCTCACGGACGTAGGATGCGATATCCTGATGGCACAACCAATGGATTGGGAAAGGATGCCGGAGGTTCGATGTAGGCCCTCAGGTATATCTACGAATGATGTCGAGATAGAGAAACTATTGAGCCAGATTTCGACAAAAACTGCGACCGGAGACGATCAGATACCGGCGAAGGTACTCAAATATATGAAAGGAAAAGGTGTGAACTGGATAACTAAACTGTTCAACCGAATCCTCAACGGTAACGAAGCCGTCCCCATGGACTGGAGAGATGGCAGAGTATCACTACTTGAGAAGCCAAACTCGAAGAAAGGGGTACTCGATACATACAGACCCATAACTATATCGACCGTCCTATATCGGTTATTCACGAAAATTATCGCGGCAAGAATATCCGATTGGATGGAGGAAGAGGAAGTCCTGGGAGAAATGCAAAACGGGTTTAGACGAGACCGACGAGGGGAGGACAATCTATTCATCCTGACCTCGGCGATCGAGCTAACGGGGAAACAGAACAAGGGCCTGATCACATGTTTCCTAGATTGCACCAAAGCATACGACAGGATATCCAGGGATTCTCTATGGGATACACTGGAGGAGCTCGGGATGGACGAGAGATGGATACAGCTGCTCAAAACTGTATACACTGACAATAGTGTAAGGCTCGAAATTGGGGGAAGGAGATCCTTGAGGATAAGCACTGAAATAGGCCTCCGACAAGGGTGCCCCCTGTCACCGATTCTATTCGCACTATACATAGCTGAACTGGAATCCAGACTGATGTGGGCGAACTGTGGTTTTGAGCTGACAAATATATCAGACGACGGACCCACAACCCATAGAATACCAGGACTGCTGTATGCCGACGACCTCCTATTGATGGCCCACTCATACGAAGAAATGAGTAGGGTGCTAGAGATTGTGACGGAGCTGGGGAACGAAAAGAGTCTACAGTTTAATCCGGCGAAGAGCGCTATGGTGATATTCAACACCTGTCGGCTTGGAGAACCAAGAGAAATGATTATACAAGGAAAACATATAGAGTTCCAGGAGGACTACAAATACTTAGGGACCACCATATGCAACGCCCAGAACTTACCTCCTGATACAGGAACAAATATGGAAGAAGGAGGGCACACAATGTACGTACAAAGACTTCAATGCTCAGGTATTGTGGACATTCAACAGATTCGAGATCACGCGAATCCAATGGATGGCCACGGGGGTACCTAGGCTGACATATGCGAACGCTGTGCTAGCATCGAGAGCATCTAAGCAAATCGCAGCCCTGTTCGATAGAGCTCAGGTAGCCGCGGGGAAATGGGCGATGGGAATAACTGGACACAAAGTAGCGTCAGACTTCGTGCTCGGCGAACTTGGGTGGTCCACATTCGAGGCCCGAGAAGCACAAAGTAAAATCCGATATTTTGCAAGGATCAGTGCAATGGACTCATCACGATGGCCCAGAATGGTTCTATCGATGATGGCTGCAGTCAACATATACTCGGATGCCATAAAGAGACTCAATTTCCTGAAAACAAGATTCGGCTGCTCGGACATCCCCCTTGAATATCGGGAAGATCAGAGCGCGAGGATCACGCTTTTCAATGATACGGTGAAGAAACGTATCAAAGAGAGGTTGAGCGAGACTTGGTCGGAATCAATGAGATCCAAATCAAGCCTGGAGCTCTACAGAGAATGGAAGGAGAGAGGCATGACTGCTCGCGGCTTGTACACAAACAGCCGGGGCAGCGCACTGTTGGCATTGGCCCGTGCGGGAATGCTACCTACGCGAGCCCACCGCGCGAAATACGAATCCATTGACCCGCATTGTACAAGATGCGGCGGTCAAATAGAAACCATACCACACATAATAATGAAATGTGACTCGCGTCATCACGAGACGGAAGCGCTCGCCAGGAGACTGGGCTTCATTGGAGTGGATGATGGGGGGGAATGGGAGGAGACGAGGAGAATGCTCGAGAAGTGGGAGGATGAGACCCGAAGGATCCGCTGAGGAAACTCGCCCCTGGACCAGGGTCGCTCATGTAGACAATGAAAACGTGTAGACATCAGCGAGGATCAATTATAACCATAACCATAACCATAACCATGGTCGTTTGCGAGGAGAGCCCATTTCTTCACGTGACGAGCCGTGTTCGATCAGCATCGCTGTCCATTTCCGTGGGTATGCTACACGGACAGCCCTGGGACGCCACGACTCACGATAAAATGAGTTTCCCGTTGACTGGATACAGGAGACTCCTCCCAAACGGACAGGGTCACAGAAAACTTACAGCATACAGTTGGCTGGCGTACGGGTAATCTTTCTGGATGCCCAGAACCGGGCGCAATGCAAGCTCGTCCCCGGCTCAACCATGATGGCTAAAATATTATGGCCAGAGCTCGTGGAGGGATAGTTGGAGAATCTCGGGGTCGGAGATTCGCCCAGGGAGGTAGACTAAAAGCCATAACTCCAAAGTGCTCCGCGAGATCAGCGTATTCTTCCTCCGATGAAAGTGTTCGGACCTGAGCGGTTCATCTTCGGCAGCGTGGATGCGCCGATTATAGGAACCTATCCTTCGCTCAGATGAGCCGGGGTTCGATTCTCCTCGATTTCGCGTCTACCAGGAAAACTACTTGGTGAAAAATAGAGGAAAAACCTTGCCAACATGAAGGCGACTGACCAGATGAGCGCCCCAAGAAGATGGGCTCGCCCCAATGACGGAAAAGATGCTTCCTTCATTCAGAACCGTCCTGTCGACGGTGGTATTTACGCATTTATTCAAGGGGATGGTCATCCCTAATCGTCAGGTGGTAGCAATGATTCTTATATATGATATTTGAACGATGTATTGTCATGTATTCTCGATCGTTATTATTAAATTAGGTAGATTCTCACGCGAGGAGTCAGGTTCTCACAAATAATTTACAACATGAATTCGGATTCGCACGCGCACTGGACATTCGCAGCATTCGTTATCCGAGCGGGCGGCCTTCACAATGGCAACGTAGGATCGAGGATTGAGTCAATAAAGTCCGCCTTCCAGGCGAGGAGCGAAGACTCCTTGCTGATGACGAAAGCGCAAGCGATGAATTTCATCGTTGACTAGAGCTTCTCGGCGAGACTCTTGATCGGTTTCAACAGCTTGACTGTTCCGTACTTGACGGGTCTCCGTCACTCTCAGCTTCGGAATAATCGGAGTCGTCCCACTCGGACTCTTCTGAAAAATCCTCGTCGACGTAATCTCGATCGTTTAGGCGAGCTTGGATGCAGTCATCTTTCAGTTTGCGGTTCATGCTTGTCTTGTGACGAAGGTGACGGCTATTGAAATGTGCTCCCAGAGTTCCGGTGTCGTAGAAGGTATTGTCGCACGCCGCGCACGTGATCACCTTAGACCGTGTCTTCAAAAATCTCCTCTCAATTATCCTCCCTCGAGCTGTCGTCGCGGTGCAACTTGCGCACGTACAAATCGGTCGGTAATGGTGCACATGTTTTCTGCGACGTTCGGCTGCCAACTCGATCTCAGCACATGCCACGGCTCCTGTGAAATACTTGGACAAATCGGGGATCACTTCGGGTTCTTTGCGCCCAGGAGAACTCCGACACTGCTCCGCCTTCGAATCTGAACTGCAAGTCGGAGCTGTTCGGGGAGGGAAGTTTGAGGTGCGATCATTGAGATGCCTCCGTTTGTTGTGCCTTTGTCGATTTCGCCTGCTGCCGTAGCTCGTTCCGCATGATTTGCAAGGGAAGGAGCTCTTCGTTTTCAGGACGACAAGTGCTTGGGTCATTTTTGCCGACGTTTTCTTCGACTGTCCTTCGAGATCAGGCGCAGAATCTGTGAATAGTTTCACCTTCGCTGTCATCCGAATTTCGCTGAATCACGATCGCGGGTTCCGTCTCCAAATAAACGCAAGTTCGAGGAAATCGGAATGAACGAATGAGACGCGGCGTGAACCTCGAGCTCTTCTTACCTGGGACGGAGATTTTTTCCTTTCGTTCTATTTGACTCTCGAAGATCTTGTTCGTCGACGACGTGGCTTCCCTCGGTGCCGGCGCGGGAACGACTGACCGGTCCCACACGTTCAACCTGTAGGGTCGGCTTCGTCGAACGAAACGTGCGGATGTCAATGTCAGCGGTCGAGATGATTCCTGTTTATTCTCCGACCTGGGAGATCAGGAACGATTCAATTCGTATTCAAGTATATCCTCTCGAGTGGATTCAATATGTGTTTGGGCAATCTCTGCGTGAATCTTCAGATACATGACGGAATATAGATTTAAGCGGGATGATTTCAAATGTCGTGCGGTGGTCGTTGTGAGATTGAACATGCCTCGCATTCGCTCATCTGAAGTTGGACAACCTCTACGAGCTCGTCGTCCGTTGCAAGCGATTGAATCGATCGCTCTAGCTCCGCGGAGAAATCTAAGAGACATCGCGATCTCCGCGTGCTATCCGAAGGGAAGAGCTTCGAATCTCCGAATTTGGACTTGAAATTACCCGCTAATCACTGGGGGTCCGGAGCCGTCAATCGAGATCCCCTCCTCCAGCGCTCGGGAAAAAATGAGCGCTTCCATAAGGCCGGAGAGGAGCTGAGAATTGAGCTACAGCGCTTCATGGCGCTCTTCGGTCGGAGGAAGGGGATTCCACGATGAAACTTCTCACGAGCATCGCCGATCCTGAGGATTGCTCGCGGAAAGTATGGGCCTCCGATTTCCAGAGCGCTCAACGCTGCGAGAGAACTCGAAGAATGCCGAGCCCACAGGGGAGCTAACTCTCCAGTGGAGAACTTAGAGGGATTACGAGAGGCAATAACCCTTCCGTCAGATCGCGCCAGGTGATTGTGTCTTGCTCCGTCGACGATCGCCTCTATCGAACAGCAGAAATCGCATGAATCTGATAGCGTCACCAACTAGTTATCTCGACTCAGAGATACGGGGGCGTTCCGGGAGAAACAGACGATCATCAATCATCAGTATTATTCGCGTAACTTCGAGCGTGGGCTCCAACAACATACAACATAATCCCTCAATTCGGGACGCGGAATCCTGGAGTGGAGGATTCAAGTGAACGGTCGAGAATCCCAGCTTCTCAAGTCCGGGGCTCGTGATAAAACCGCGGTTCAGGGATCCGATACCAAGGATCGCGGATCAAACTGCCATGAAATTCATTCGAGAAACTCGTGTGACGGACTGGTCGTCGGCACTCGTTTCGTTCCGCTCCGGATTCGTTTAAATATTGTGGCAAACTCGAGTTCCGAATAGAGCTCCGCTTCCTTATAATTCCGATTCTATCGAGACCCAAGTGAAGATCTCCTGCAGAAAACTCTTATGAACAAGGCCTAGTTCTTGGAAGTACCTAATTAGAAATAGAGAGGAGGCTCCAATGGGAGAAATAAGCGTCCTGCAGGAGCCATCCTGCCTGGACCGAGATATTGTCGACTCTGCGGACCGAACGGGAGGTCCGACTTGAATCGGTATACATCTGCTTTGTAGAAGGTCGTTCCAGAGAAAACTGGCCGGCTCCGCAACATCGTCGCCAAGGCCCGGCATCTCTCGATGATGAATTATTCCCTAGTATCAGTGATTGATGACTGTGACCATCTTTAGAAATTCAAGAGACGGTTTATTCTTGGAGCCTGGACGATTCAGAAAGTCGACTCTGCGGCACCTCGTGCCATATCCATCGGAAACCTGGGACAGCCCGGAGTATGACCCGCATCAACTCGACCAGCTCTTCCCCTGGAAGGATGGAAAGATCTCCAGTTCCGTGCAGATTCGGTTACCACAACCTGACTCAGATCACAGCTCAATCATTTTCGAGATATCTCACCTGCTCCGTGGAAGTCTCCCAGCGCTAATTTTGTATTCTCCGAGAGCGCCGCGAGGAATTCTGCGAATGTGAGATCGATGCTTTGAGAAGTCAATCCTAAAGCAAAAGATTCGTTGCCATGAAGCGATCGAAATTAATCGCCCTTTGTCGGAATCACCTGATGCTTTGGCGATGAAGGAACCTGGACGTGTCTGTGCTGAAACCATTACGACAGAAAAAACGAGAAAAAACACGCGATGATTCTCATAGTTCTCAGATGTATAGTGAACGATCCCACAGCACTGTGGAAGCCCCCCTTTTCGATGCGAAGGATCTCGCAAACCCTGTGGATTTTTATGCTCTTCCGCTCCGAATGAGAGAGAGACTAACTGACTTGTGATTCGTGATACAAATACTCCTCCATATACTAAACACACGGGGACTCCTCGACCCAATCGTACCGAGCGACATTTCATGACATTCTCATCTAGCAGACGGCGGCCTGGGAGCCGGCAGTACTCCGGGGAAGTGAGACATCTTACACACGCTAATCGTACTGTTCAGCTTCTCACTACTTAAGTATTAATTAATTGTTCTAGGACCGACATCCGCACTGACGACGATCCCTCGCGAGAGATGACGTGTCCCAACGTGATCGAATGAACACTGATAACTATCGTTGCTGCTTGCTTCATCCCCTCTATCGGTTAGAAGTGTCTGGACCTCAGCTTGGCCCGTGAGGGCATTTCAAGGGCTATTCGAAGAGGCTCATCAGGAGAAGGAAACGATGGAGGATCATCGGCGCTGATCTGATAACACAGATACCTACCCGGATGTTCGGAATATTAGGGGAAGGTGCCTCGAATGGAACAAAGAGGAAGAAAACCCCGCAGTGACACGAAATTCTGGATTCAGAGGAGCGGCTAGATTACAACCACATCTATGGCTGATTGAAGTGCTCCCGAGTGAGAAGTTCTTATGAAGTTGCTCCGAAATAAACGCCCTTCCAAACAATCGCGGAATGCCCCACGGCCTCCCTCTTCATGACTGTCGGAAGTACTCGTCCGATACTTTAAATCAATCCATTCGATTGACTCTCCACGGGTAATCTGATCACCTTCCTTAGAATGAGATTGGCTTCACTCATGGCGTTGTGAGACTCTCGCGGAAAATCTGACGACTTCCCTGGACTCGAGATTGGTTCCATGCATGATCAAGTGAGTCTCAAGCTGGAGTCTATCGTGAAGAAAGAAGAAAAGTTCTGGACTTTAGCTTCGAAGGCGCAGACGACGCTGAGACAGTGTGTGCGGTGCATGGGATAATGGATCGAAGAGCGGCGACAGTTTCTGACCGAGCCGGTGATTGCCTGTCACGCTCGGAAACACGGTGAATTCTCTGTGCTCGGGCCTCCGGATTCCCAACGGATGAATGAAAACCGCGGCAACTAATTGCTCGAGGTGTCGATACACGTACTTCAAACATGCTCATTCGTATGGCCTCGGTCGAGGATCGTTGAGTAAAGTTCCGATCGTAAAACAGTTATTCCATCGAGGCATACACGGCAGAGAAAGGCCGAGACATGATCTCATAATTTCCAAGACGCCAGCATTGCCCGAGCTTCTCTGCTCTACTCCTCCTATAACAGTCGTTTCGTGGGCCTCCGTGGTATTTCTAACCTGCGTGTACCCGAGTCCCTCATGAGATAATGAGTTGTTATGTCTCCCTAGCATGGGGTAGCCTGGGCGGACCGCTCGACTCACTGGCATGGTCAGCCTGGACCAGAATCTTCCGAAATCCGCCGGTACCTCAATTATAAACCCCCAACACATTATGAATGAAGAGGACGCTTTATTGCAATAGATTTTCTGATCTGATACTTCACCGCCGAGTCTTCTCACGAACTTTCTGACGTATTTTTTGCGGGTGTGAAGTCTTCGTGGGCCGTCGTGGCTTCGACCGTCGAATTCTGCAGCAAAGTGCGGTGGGTTCTCAGGAATTCGACGAGGTGGTCAACTGTAAGGATGCGGATTTTTCGGATCTCAGGCTCAAAACGCGGCCATCATAGAGTTTTCGGTACCGTACGGGCACCCATCAACTCACATTCTACGGCGAGGCGGCCGAGTCCAATACTCGTCAGATATTGGTGGATGGAGCCTGCGGAGCGATGCTTTTAGGAGTCGCTCAGATTCGAGAAAATCCTTAAATCTGGTCGATAGAAATGGATCGAAATGAGGTACTCAGTGTGCGGGCAGGAGAGGATTCCCCTTCTATCTGGGATTGTGCTGAAACCAGCGCCAGGGAAATCAGGAGGACGCAGGTCGGCAGTAGTCTCATGTTGAGGTAGTCTAGTGAGCTGACTGTTCACCGCGAGTTTGGAGCACTTTCATTCCAGGAGCGACGAGTTCCGAAAAGCTCTTGGACGATAATGACTATATGCGCTCTATGGGAGATATAGCCTCGACGTTTTCGTCATCCAGACAGTTCTCGATCCGATAAACACACGATTCAGTAAACTTCCTCAGTCGCATGACTTTCCGGGACCCGAATGGGCAAGGTATTCATATTTTGTCGTTTCACTGTCTAAGCCTCCGACAGGATTAGCCGGAATTGACTCCAAATGACTCAGCGTCCGTAGTTCATCCTGGTCTACGGATGTGAGGAAAAATTACCTACTTGAATCTAATTATTCCTAATGACTAATCACCTCAGCCGGAATCGAAAGATTCGGGCCGCTGGACGATGCCGCTGCGCTCTCGAGAGAAGGCTCAGAGAACGGGGACCTACAGGCCGATGAAGAGGCCGAATGTTTTTCATCGCATGGAGCGGTCGCTGTGATGAGTTCAGAACTTCCGCTGCGGCGACGCGCCTCAATTTTATCGACGCCCTCGCGGGGGGAAATCAGGTCCCCGTCTGCTAGAGTACACGAGATTCGATCTCCATCAGACCTCATCGATCCCCCCACCGAGATTGTCCTCATCGCCCACCATCAGCATCGCTCTCACCATTCTAGCCCGGGACGTCAACTTATGATAAGTTGTTGAGACCGACTGGGCATCCAGTACTTCGAGGTTGGGACAAGCATTTGACCTGCTTACGGCATCTCTCGCTGAAATTCCGCGAGCAATCTATGCTTCGGGAATGTTCCCTCACTAAACGTCTTCGCGGAAGGAGGTGTGACGGTACTGGAGCTCGATATGGATTTATATCCATACGATAAATATTTGTCGCGCACGGATTCTTCGCTCGGCGTTACGTGCGGAGAACCGCGGGCGAGACAGCAACTAAGGACCCGAGTGCTGACGCCACAGATATACGACACCGCAACCAACGGCAACCCGATGGGTCGTGTGCATTCTGCTCGGTAAGTGGATGGAGCCGATCTCCGAAACGGAAACTGAAGCTCGGAGCAATCTATTTCTCTGGAGGCCTTAGGATAAATGGGAAGAAGCTCCGGCAGCATCGAGTTTGGAGAGAAGCTTGTGATCGAGCCGATGGAGCCCATCGAGTTTGTATCGTTGCGGGTGCAGCCAATGTAGGGTCGCATATTCACGAATTCGGGCGGCCGCAGAGATCCTGCGATGAGAGAGGCGATCTCGAAACTACTTCGACTGAAGTCGTACATGGAATCGCAGAAGAGCAGGGTGACAGTTGTTACCATGGAGTCAATTCTGGTTCGGGAGGAAAATTCAGATGGCATCACGGAATCTAGTCGATGGATTTGACGCATCTGGGCACGGAGACACGAAAACTTCGGAGGAATTGCTTGGGAGTCGTTCTCTGAGGATTGGAAATGGCTGATCACCTGATCAATTCGCTGACATCCTCCTTGTTCTTGAATCGGGGAGATTAACGCGGGATCCATGCCACTGGGAGCTGCATTTATTCAATCCTTATCTACACTTCGATTGATCGGATCGAAGCCAAAGCGTTCCAAAAATGCGAGAAGCACACTTCCAGGTTGCCGTTGATATTTGTCTCTTAATTGACAGATTGCATCCCGGACCTGGAACGAAGAAAAAGCCTTGGATTGCCTTCGGTTTCCGCGAGAGCACCAGACTCGAATTGTTGATTGAAGCTCGAATTGTCCTCATCAAACTTGTCGGCAGACTCGCGGGGAGAAATAGTCCGATGCTTACCCGCTCTGCGAACTCCTCGGGACTTTCATTGTCCCCGCAGTAAAGCGGCTCCCCGATGTAGAGTCGCAACTTCACGGGGATATTCATGATGGGAAGGTATATGGCCTCCCTCGTTTTCTCGTATACCTTCCTGAATAAGCCTGAAGAATGGAAGATGTTCGAGGAATCTCGGTAATCAGAGCTTCATCGAAGCATAAGGGTGTTTTCAAGACGGACCCCGATATGATAGTCACCCGCGGATGACAGACTAGCGGCGAAGCGCGACAGCGGCTTTTGAACTCATTCACCTTCCATGCCGTAGGTTGAGATTGGCATCGCTTCTCGGCTGTTTGCTGTGAAGATCGGGACTATCGGCACTCCGCTCTCTATTGCGACCTCAGCGAATCCGATTCGACCTTGCCAGAGGGGCCTGTAACGGAAATACCCGAGACTATCTTAGAATCGATCAAGTGGACACGACAATCGTGTGGCGCAGATGCCCGTCAGAGCTGTCTTCGAATCGTTCGTCTTGTGAGAGTCCAGAAATGTCTCCGGTTTGAGAATCTCGAACTTCTTCTGCATCGTCTCAGAGCAGCGTTGAATGGAGAGGGCAGATCGGGCAGCTCTCGGTACGATCGAACATCGATTGCCTTACTCGTAGTCTTTGCTGAAAACCGTCTCGAACGATCCTCCCGGCGAGACAGTACGAAAGTGTCCTTCTTTCAAATCTTTGATCAAACGATCTCGCTGAGAGTAGAGACAGCACACCTGAGTCAGAGGGAAGAAAGGGATTAGGGGAACGCAGGATCCCGATGGATTCCTTCGGTCCGAGCCCTGTGTCAAATAAATAATTGAATCCTCGGAGGTCCATCTGGAGAGCTCTCTCCGGAGTCTCTCCATCTCTCCGGATTGATGGACGAGCTCGTCTGTCGTGATCTCACCTTGCACACGCCCGACATGACTGTCATGAGATCCCGGTGGACGATCCCGCCAATGGTTTCTCCGGATTCGAGGTACCGCTTGGCAATTATATAGAACATTCCTTGCGGCATGAGGGAGTGATAGTACACTATGAGAGCTCCCGATGATTTCGGTAAGTTTTCTTCCCCGTGGAACTCGATGCCTGGAACGATTCCCTCATTCAAGCCGCAGCCAGGGGAGCACGAGGGATTCGAGATCTCTTCTGGGGTATACTCACCGTGTAGAGCCCTCCCGAGGAGGTACAAGAAAGAACCCGAGAACGTCCGCCAAAACTTGCCTAGAGCCGGCGGATAGATGCTGCTCTCGAATCGCAGCTCAATGCGTCCAACAATGTCGGTGGCTGCCACAAATACGCTGGATAGCGACGGGGTGAAAATACACATCTGCGGATGCGCCAGTTGGAGCGTAAATGGAGTCACCCTGAATACTCCTCGTGATCACCGCGAAAAAGTTCGATGCTCATGAGGGGAGTACTTATCTGGGCTTACCGCTACGAAGGCGATTAACGGGCCATTAAGCGCGAAGTAGAAGAATAGACACATCATCAGCGGAAACGTGATCCTTGAGAGGTACAAGACACCGAATGCTAAGATGGTGCCTAAGTCACGGCGCCGAGGCTTGCTTTTCGCTGCCATTTTCCTCGCAAGCGCTCTGGCGATGGAAACTGTCCGATGTCCTGCACGCGGCTCAAGATCACGGTCTCGGCGTTCCCTCGATTCAGTCGGGAAAATCTGGAATACAATCGGCATGAGCGGACGCCGCGAAATCGAGAGGAAGGAGATGGAGTGGAGCCATGTCGCAGGATGTGATTCGAATCTCTCGGTGACCTCCCGGGGGTTCCTAGGTATGTCCAAATGGACTGCCGAGGTCCGTCAAACCTCAGGTATACGGATTGAAGCGCACATATCCAGCCGAGAGCCACTCATGGTAGCGGAGCGAGAACCCCCTCTGAACTCGAACTCGTTTTGGAATTTCTCATCACTCCACACCCACGCCTCATCACGCCGTGATCCCACTCCCCGAGTTGCGACACACGGAATGCTTCCCCGGTCGAGATTCTGGGAGACGAAGAGTTTGAATCATCTGCGATCCGTGCCTCTTGCGCGAAAGGAGTGGTGCTCCTCGAAGGGTGCGAAGCCTCTCCAACGTCGCTCTACCCGCCGTCGTGTCTAGCGACCGACCCATTTGTTCACAGGATTCCTGTCTCCCACCTTGGAACCGTCGACATCCACTGTGTATCACCTACTGAAATGCACTACGAGGCCCGAGTCGTTTCCCATCATGTATCGGGAGGTTTTGATCGTTCGGCATCACGGGTAATCAAATTTCTCGCCGCATGCTTACTCTATACATCCCTAATGGATAGAATCACTTGGCAAAGCAACCCGGGTCCCTTCTGAATCGCAACAGTACTGACGCAGGAAAATTTCGCGAGGGCAATCAATTCCACGAACTGAGTAAAACCTCACGTCCTCATCTCGAATGAATTGGAGCACTTTCGGAGTGAAATGGGACGGGTCACCTCTTAGCGGACTGATATCGTAACGCTTAGAGATTAAGTACCGAGGAAAAAACTCCGATTTTCTCCCAGTGAACTCGTTCGAAACGGGGGAATATTTCGAATAGCGACTAAGTTTAGTTACCCTGCTAGGTCGATGTCGGAGGGTCGACGTATCCTCTCTTCCGTGATTTCCACAGGGGATCCCTCTCACTCTTCTTCTTTCTGGTATGTGGGATCGGCACCGCCTCCACCGTATTTGAGGCGGGAAGTTGACTTGGTAGTCTACCGTTCAGAGCCAAATATAGTAGGCCTGCTCCGAACAAGAAAAGATTAGATCCGCAAGTTGCATTCGTCGGGAAAATAGATCTGACGGATCCTCGTTGCGACAACTGGGACGGAAAGAGACACAACCACACCCATATTTTTTGTGATCGTGATCCCCGTCGATAATGATGCGGCAAATGGCCCGATTTGGCACTGATTGGATCGGGTGCGACTATGATTGGAGCGGAGCTCTGACCGAGAAATATAAACGGCCGAAAAAGTCACACATGATAAAATTTCCTCCGAGACTCTTGCTCGTTGGCTCCGATGTTCTCCTCATGATTCTCCAGATCGGAATTTGCGTGATATCCGCGCCAAGTTTGATGAGGAGACAAGGCATGTGGGACTCGAGGATGAATTGCGCAAGTTTTGGAGGAGAGCATCGGGAACCGGGGCGTGCGGAGCGCTGAGGTAGACCGTACGTACGACACGAAGGTACAGGTCGGGAATCATATTGAAGATGCGGGATGGGATCGTCATGGGACATGGATCCATTGATCAACATTCAACATCGGAGAATACCCGCCGGCATGATGACGTGCATCGCTTGCAACCGACAAGGCCATGATGGAACCGCTAAAAGAGACGGAATCTGCCTGCAGCGAGCACAGCCAGATACAAACTCGCATATCTTGTGGTCACTGAATCCTGCTCTTGAAGAGGCCTGAGGGAGGGGGCCTGCTTCTTCCACTCATCCAATACTTGGTCGACGCATGACTGCAGTAATAGCTAGATTACGACGAGCGAATCACGACAGAGATCGTCTGCTGAATGTACTTTTGAGAATTGATCAGTCATCGAAGACCGAATCCCGTTCGCCGCCCTCTCTCATCTTCCCAGGCAGCTGCGTGTTTCCCTGCTATCCCCGGGCTAGAAGCTGCAAACTAGCCGATGGTAGTCTCGATCGGAGTTCTCTTGCCTCTGCCACCAAAGGCGTCCAGACCTGACCTCACTGAGGAATGGCAAGGAACCCGCCGATTCAAGTAAACTCGTCCGGAAGTGTAAAAAGAAGCCAGCAGCTGGATGGATGGGAGCTAGAGAAATATTTCTGGCGTCCTTGACAGGAATTCGAGCGTCGAGATAGCACAATTGCGAGACAGCGCATGAGATCTCCCGATAGCCCAGTTAAAGATCTGAAGTGTCCCCCTGGTCGACTTCCGGAATCGAGTTCACGTATCGTGGTCATCTTTTTTCAGGATTCGATTTCGCGGTCGACACGATAATGGCCACGATGTAGATATGGTCGCTGTCGCAACAGCCGGATGTTTTCTTTTTAGGATGTTGGGTATCACAAGGTGCCTCCGCTAATGAGGATGGTCACCCATCAACTCATCCCGGAGAGAGCCTCGTTAGGCGCAGGCTAGCGGAGGAAATATATCTATGGCAACATAATTGGGCATCCTTCAGAAGGTGATCGTCGGATGAGGTGCCTAATTCTTTGGACATGAGAATCGAAAATTTATTCTGTCTCTCCTCCCTTACTCTCTGTCAAGATTTCTCTGAATAGCAGATTTCGGATCGAGACTCCAGTCCCTAGCCAGGATCGAGGGCATCGATTCATACAGTGCGATTGAGCCCCTACTCACGTCATTGACTGGTGGGCGACGTAAGTCGAGGGAAGACGTGGGACGGGGCAGGATTCTCCGGGCGGGTGTAAATTGTTTCTCTAGTCTCGGCAGCGAAGATATGGTATGTATGGTATATCGTTTGGCTGGCGAATGATCTCCTCCAGATGTCGTTTGACGCGTCTCTAATGAGCACGGTTTGGCTTCAGTTCTCCGCTTTTCGAAAGCAAAACTCATCTATCTTGCTTCGGGCGACCTGCTCCTCATCGTCCTTGAGATGGATGCAATGTGGAATGAGAGCGTCACCCACAATGTCTACGATCTTCGAGGAGCGATCGAGATCCATTTCTTGGGTGTTCCTTAAAGGACGCTCAATCAAGAAAAGGACGCCTTTCTCTACCAGGGGCTCATGCCTTACCAGGCTTAACACTCTTAAAATGTATCAACCCATATGTGGAACAAAACAGGATGGCGCCGGCCAGACCACGAGCTTGACGTGGGTCGAGGCAATGGATCTATCAGGTCCTACTGTGCTCAAGTGTCCGATAGTGGACCTTTTCGAGATTTGAAAACTCGCAGATGCTCTCCACGTATGGAGTCAGGGACCCGGCTTGTACGGATATCATCAAGAAGTCTCCGTTGTGAACACCGTGTCTCTCCATAATTCTCACCTCTAGCACTCATTGTGCTATGTTCTTGTGCTCAACTCCGAAAGTTGAAACGAAAAAGGTAGACTGTACATACAATAAATTAGATCTGATGAACGAGGCTAGACAATGATATAGATTAATAACCAAATTGAACACTATATTGAGACGATATCGTTCCTTCCCGAAATTGGGTTTCTGGGCGATTACCCGGCCCCGAATCCGGAAAATCTCGCGAGACAGCAAGTTCGAGTGTATCGGACAAAGATTGCCAGCAGTCCTCCTCTCCACTGACCGAGTTCAACGATTGGGACCGGGGTCCGTCATCGGCGAGATATTTGCGATCTGTTCCCGCACACAACGTTCTTCCGATCGTCAAGACTTCTTCTCAGATTTCGGAGGATTATAGAATGCCGGGTAACCCAATCTTTCCATGAGAGCCAACAAGACGTTCCCAGGACGACGCTGATGTTTGTCCCTCAGGGCATAGAGTGCGGCTTCGACCTGAAGAGAAACAAGACCTTCCTCCTCAGATCCTCCTCGAAACTGAGAGGCATCGGACGCGATCTGACTCATTCTCACCCTTTTGGCGAGTTCTTCTGGAGTCTCGTCGTCGCCGCAGAAAATCGGCTCCCCGAAATAAGTTCTCATTTTCACAGGGAAACAGATCAGGGGCACAAATATATGCTCCTTCGTTCGTTCGTACACTGCCAGAAAGAGATCTGTTTGGATGAATGAGACTGTTAAGGAAGGTTTGGAGCAAAGTCATCGTTATCGGACTGAAGACTCATAGATTTCTCTGCTCCGGACTCCCTATGTTTCATCATAGATTCAGGGTATTCCGAAGTTTTCTACCATTGGGACTGATTGAAATAATTCGTTGACGCGATGGACATCACTGAACGGAGCCAGGATAGATCACAAAACTAACCACGGAAGCCAAAGGTTGACACCGGCATCGCTTGCTGAGAATTCGTCGTGAACATTGGAACTATTGGTACTCCGCACTCCTTCGCAACCTCAGCGAATCCTTTCCGGCCATTCCACATCAACCTGCAACAAAATCACGGTCATCGGTATCGATTGATGATGGCTGCGGTCCTGCAGTCTTTTGATACCGGCGTTCCGAATTCCGATCGAATGGACCGCATCTGCGATTCAGGATCTGATTGCGGAGTGAGAAAACGATACGGCTATAGTTCCGTACAATCACTCTGAAGGCAGCATAAGTGCTCCACTCTTTTTCTTCGCTTATTGTCAGGAGTCTAATTTAATTTCGAGAGAATTCGATCTGGGGACGCTTGCTCCCCTCCTCGCCACGATCCAGGATCGAATATGTCGAAATATTCGGCAAGACAGAGCGCCGCCGGTACTGCGGTGTTCAGACTGATTCATGAGAACCCAGCTCGACTTACTCATAGTCTTTGCTAAATGCTGCTTCGATGGACCCGCCTGGAGCAACAGCGCAGTGATGTCCTTTCTTCAGAGATTCGACGAGACGATCCCGCTCAGTGTAGAAGGAGAAGAACTGGATTCCAAATCGGCGAGAGAAAATAATGTGTTTAGGCAAAATGTATCAGCGATGTCGACACAATCAACGAAATTATGTTCGCCGAACATCAGCTGCCATCAGCGTTCTGACGGCGCGACGGTCACTCCGATTTTGATTTCAAGTTGCATGTACCTCGCATACACCATTCATAGCAAGCCATAGCTTCCGACTGATGACTCCGCCGAAGGTTATTTCGCGCAGCAAGCTCTGCCGGGTGAGGAGATGGAGAGTGTCGGATGGGAACAACGCCGAATGAGCGTAAATCACCAGCGCCCCGGAAGTTTTGGGCAACTTCTCAATACCGTGGACCTCGTGACCTTGCGAGGGAGATATTCAGCGATTTAAGGTCACTTCTTCCGTATGCTGCCGCCCATGACTCGCATAAATCAAAATAAAAGGTCTCAGCTTCAGGCGATCATGAGCCCCCGAGGAGTGAACATCAGTGATGACAGCCCTCGTGTCCGAATTTACCGTGGAAGAGTTTCCCATGAAGGAACACGGACAGAGCGCTGAAGAATTTCACAATACTGCAGAAGATGTCCGTAAAAGCGCCCGGGTACTTCCTCCTGAGTGCGATGGCGAGTCGGCAGGATATCTCACAGCCGACCATCGTGACGACCAACGGTGTCGTGGTCGTGAACATTATCTAGAAAAAAAACACGAATCTCAAGGAGAATGAGTCCGAAATGGCACTCTCACGGCTCCAAGAACGAGAGAAGGCATATTGATTCAAGGATGGATCTTGCTCACAAGAGAAAATGCTACGAAGTTGTTTGGCGATAGAACCCATATGGAAAGAGGGACTAGAATGACAATGAGACCGAGCATCGAATGCGTGAACTTCAGCCACGAGTGGACCGTCCGGATGGTTTCGTCGCTGTAGAGAGGTTTGTCGTTTCTCGCCATTTCCAGGCGCTGTCCATCCACTGAAGTTGATCTTTCGTGCTCGACCACTGCCTGTGAGACTACACTGGACTTATCCATTGATCACCCTGGGTTGGAGCACACGAGTGGTACGCGGACACCGCTCCTTAGATTTCGGCAGCTGAGTGGGTCAGGTCAGGCAGCCTATGCCCGCGATCATCGCCGAAGACATACAATCGCTCGATGGCTGTTGGAGCCCTACGGATCGAAAAGCTGTGTAGGTTCTGGAAAGGAAGTACCCCGTGGAGCGGATATGCTCTATGACTTGGAGCAAGTGAGAGAAGTTTGACCATTTGCGCGCTCCGATGTTGTTGGTTCCGATGTCATAGAGTTCAAGAATTCATAATGAGCAACCCGGACCGATTGTGAGTTCCCCGTCGACACATGCTCGCCACCTGTGCGCTCTCCGAGCTCTCGGGTCAATTACAGTGCGCATTCAATCGACGAGTAGCCGCACTACAATTGAAGCGCCCGTCGTGAACTTCCAGATACGAGTACCCACTGTGAGACGAGGCTCCGTTTTCCGAGATAAGTTTCCGGAACCAGCTGGGCCCAACGACATGGCGCTGCCGCAGCCGCAGGAATTAGCCTTATCTCGACGAAGCCGACGGCGTAAAGGGGACGCCGTACAGAATACATAGGTACTTGGCCTTAAGTGAGAGAGTGGGAGTGTGAATGCTGTGATTGCTTGATGAGAGATGTTAGTCGCTATCCTTTGACAGGCTTGATTCCGCTTCTGAACGTTCCGCAAAAAGTGCCTGAAGACCCGTGTGTCCCCAGTGAACTGTGGAATTAATGAGCCCGGTCGAAGATTCAATGGTGACGACTCAAAATTGTCAGAAGAGAGTTGAGCTTCACTCTCTGAGCCGAGACGGCCGAAGTCGCGCGCTCTCAGAGCTCATCATTGCAGCTTATTATGACGAAACACTCGTTGAGCGCCTCGGCCGTCTCGTAACCCGTGACGACGACTACGTAAGATTTCGCCGGGACGAACAAAGTCGGGGGAAAGATTTTTGTGAACTACAACACCCATAAAGTGCTTAAAAATTCGCCGAGATTCGTGACGATTTCCTGTGATTCCGCAGCTGCCGAATGTGGAAAACCCGAAGAACCCGGCGAGTAGTACATGGTATAGAATCGCAATGTCCGACCCTACGCTCACTCAAGGCAGAACGAAGCTCCGACTTCCGTTTACTCTATACATCGAATTATCCCTGCGCATGGCTGGTATTGAACTCCGCAATCTGTTTGGGGGCCGAGCGACTTCGCTGCCGGAGGAGATTACTCTCTTCCTACTTGCATGTGCTCTGCCGACGATCCAGGAGCGAATCCAGACCTACTCAGCTCAACATCATGCCGCGCCGACTTGATCGGAATCTACCAATCGGATCTGCGCTCAAAAAGCGTGAGGCAGTTCCTCTCCACGCGGGATGGACAAAGAATCGTATGATAGCTATCACCTGCTACCTATTGAGGAATCGTGTTTTCTGACTTGTTGAGATGCAGGACTTTCATCAGTATAATAAATCCGGGGGATCCGTCTTGTGTGAGTCCTTCACGCATCTTGCGAATTTCCGGTCATCGCCGAGGCGGAGGATTGCGGATTGCCAACACGTGCTCCTCCGCGAGCTCTCCTCGCTGATCATGTACAAACTCCGAGAAATCCAATTTCGAGTATCAATGTCGAGTATCAATATACTCCTCTGATTGCTCCGAGCATGCTCAGTAGGCAGAGTCCTCGATTCGACCATCGGAAGGAATGGCTGTGTGACACGTGCAATCCTTCTAAGAACCGCCGCTTCGAACTCGTTGAACGCCAGTTCCGAGCGGAAGGTTGCGTCTCCGCGCCTTGTCAGGGAGAGATTTGGAGAACTTAGCCGAGCTATTCTATCTGCCCATCGCTCCTTCCCGCTAAGTGCTGCCTGTTCCTAACGCACAGAGGCCGGTCGGGCCCTGTCGTGTAGCCGCTTCCGCTTCCTGTATGATAGAGCTTCGAAAAATCGCACCATCTCCTCTCGACCTATTCGTTGCCGTCCCGGGACAGCTGCGAGTTCAGATATTTAGGTAGCTCGTTAAAGCCCAGCAGCTTCAATTCTATATTTTCCGTGCACGGATATGGAGACTTCTCTTACATAGGAAACCAGCCCTGGGGAACGCGGCCTTCGGCCGCGCTCCTTAATGTGGACTCAAACGGGAATCCCGAGCTCATTGCGCGGGTGAGAATTCGTAGGTTGAAGGCAGCGGCAAATCCACCATCAGGAATTGCGGTTGTTTGTCGCGATGCGCTCAATTCCATGAGAAAAATGATTTCGTTGTTGGGCTTTGGCACTAACCACCTTCTGACGGTTTCTAAAACTCGTCGGCTCGCAATCTTCGTCATGAAAATCCGCCATAGATAATCCTGATGATATCACTAAACAACCGGAAAAGTCTTGAACGCTATTCCGAACAGTCAATTGAACCCCCAAGATGAGCAAACAATCGATCGAGCAAATCTTGAACTCGAGCCTATCTTGCTGCGTAGATTCGCATTGGCGTCTCACAACGGAAACGGCCGCGCCGCCGCGGCGGCAAAGGAGACGGAGCGCAGAATTAAAATTGTTCGTCATTTCCATAGGGATTATCGGGTTCGAACTGATACTCCGGACGGAATGGGCCATGGGCCCTTATGAATATCTCCGTAAAAATTGGAATATTCCCAGAATGCTAGAAATGGAAAATTCACCCTTCGGAATATTCCCGGAATGGTAGAAATGGAAAATTGACTAAAGCGCAGAAAACGAACGCAGGCAGAACAGAACTCCGTCGCATTAGCGCGAGCGCAAGGGGCGACCGCGTCACGGTAGCGGCGGCAGATCGGGCGGAATTTCCAGATCATCAAGTAGATCCTCTTGAATAGATGCATAACTTCTGTGTCGAAATGAGGTTCGAGCTGGTGATGTGCTTTCAAGCAATGGGAGGGGATGTCCGTGCTTCAAAGACGTTTTGGTCGGAATCGGTGAGGATTTTTGTCTACAGACAGACAGAGTGACACACAGACTTAGCGTTTTATATATGGGGGGGATACGTATCGCGGAACATCCTCTATCGTTTGTTGGTCGTTTAGAAAGAGCTCTTGCTGAGAAAAACGTGTGGCATAACCATCGAAGGCGGTTCAGGCACCTGACTCCGATGGATGTTCATGAATCTCATATATTCCGTGGTCAGACCGTTGTCGCGCGTCTCGGTGAGACTCTCTAGTTTCGGAGCCGCGATCGGCGTTGTTCGGTCGGGGAATCGAAGCGGGGCATCACGCCAGGGAATTCGCTTTTATTCCAGCTCCTTACATCTTCGCAGTCTCGCTGTTCCCAACGATTGTGTATCAAAGCGAGTTCTTCTTCGCCTCACGTCTGAATGGTTCGTACCCGAATCGCTCCAGGAACGCGATGGGAATGCTCCCAGGTCGCCTCTGATGCTCGTCCCGCAAGCGATTGATCGCAGCCTTGACCTGAGGAAAAATTCGACTTTAGCCCTTGTCAAGTGAGGAGAGGCAGTCCATTCATCTGAGGTCTCGGCAGCAAGGGAGAGGAGATTGGTCCCTGAACGACTTCTGAAGTTGGATGAAAGATCGCTCATGGTATTCCCCGATGGGTATCTCAATCTCATCTCATGGGAATTCCTCCTCCCCCTCCAAGATCTCTCCTATCCTGATCCTCCAGGCACACCGATCATGTCTGAATGATATCCATCGGACATTGCACGAAGTGCCCAGCTACAGGAAAATGATGTTTCATGGGAGATCCATTCTCGGAATAAATTTCACGAATATTGCCTCAGCCTAAGGTCTTGGAAGTTCTTAGGAGGCATGATTTCGTTGATCATGTTCGAGAGGGAAGTAATCGAAGTTCTCTGCGACAATCCCGGCACCATAGGAAAAGCTACCGGGAAAAGCAACTTACTCGTTCCGCGAAAGACTCCGGAGTCTCGTCTTTCCCGCACAGGAGCGGTTCGCCGATGAAAATCCGGAGTTTGACCGGGAAGCATATCAGCGGTATGTGGATGAGTTTTTTTATCGGTTTAGATGCTCTCCACAACCTTTCTGTCGGGGCATGAAAAAAACGGAAACCCATGTCAGGCTCGTCGATTCGGGCTGTAGGAGATAAACCCAGGCCAGATTTTCGGAGGAATATTCTCGCGAAAATCGTGAATTGAAAGTCAGTGCTGAGATCACCCTGAGTACCTCGGAAGCCATAGGTTTTGACCGGCATCGCTTGCTCGGAATTGACCATGAACATGGGAATCACGGGGACTCCGCATTCTTTCGCGACTTTGGCAAATCCGACACGGCCGCTCCAGATCAATCTGCAGGGAACGAAAATACGGCGCGTAGGATAGATCATCGTGGAGCACCGTGCCCCGCGATAGAAATCGGAATTCCATAGGTAGCGGCAGAAGAAGCGTATCTCACTCGTAATTTTGGCTGTACGTGGCTTCGATTTGCCCTCCCGGAGACAGTGAACGGATGTGACCTTTCTTCAAATCGTCGACGAGACGATCTCGCTCCGTGAAGAACTCGAGGATCTGGAGTAGCAGCGAAACTCCTCAGACGAGGCAGTGATGATTCGAGTTGAGTGACTCAATCGTTGCTCTGCAATCTCGATTGGAAAATGGTTCCACGTCCAGGGCGGGGAGGGGGGGAAGCCTCAAAAGCGCTCATAGCAGAGCCGCTTTTTAATTGCATACCTCGCACAAACTCCGCATGAAGGCATAGTTTGCCCGACTGATGATTCCGCCCAATATTCGATTATTCTCGAAATACTGGTCAGCCGAGAGGTAGACTACATCTAGTGGTATCAATGCGTGATGGTAGACCAAGAGTCCGCCGGTGTTCTTTGGTAGGTTCTCCTTGCCGTGTATCTCGTACCCTGAGAGGGATATATCCGCTGATTCTCGTGAAGAGAGACCGGGCACACGATTGGAGCTGCGAGCAGCGCTAAGACTCACCGTGCACGATTTTTCCGTAGACTCTGATCATACTCAAAGTTATCCAAGTCGCGGCACGGCGGAAAGCGGTTGATTGAAATCGCTCGTCAAGTCTTCTCGCGGCTCTAGCGATAATACCGCAGAAGAATGTGCCCCAGTAAATATAGCTAAACGTCCCGCAGAGTGCCTGTTCCGTGACGAAGAAGATGACATGAGAATTTGCAAGCCGATCAATCTCGATTTCGTAGATCCGAATCCAGCGTCATGGTGATTCTAACCGCGAGGACAGAGAGTAGTGCACGCCCTGAAATCGTCCATAGGATCACCGGCAGCAGCAACATCAGGCCTACGTAGGACATGGCGATCACCTGCGCCTCTAGAGACATCTTCAGGTCTGAGCTCTCCATCCTGAGCGGCAAAAAGAATCTTGAGGCCCACGGGGCTGGCTGCTGAACTTCAGTGGCTCACTGCTACGGGTCGGCGGATAGCGGCGAACCACTCTCGGTGCTTCCTCAGCTGCCGGGGAAGGATACTCGTATCACAGCAAGAAACATTCCTCACGGGTCATTGACAAATATCACGGATCGCGAAATCCGATTCTTGGACTTATCTACATGAATAAAATGCCACGACCGACCTTTGGACTCTGCAGTAGCTGCGAATTCGGAAACCCCTGCAATACACCATGGACCGGCAAAGTTTCGCCTAGTTCGCTCTGAATCGAGAGCAGAAGCCCTGCAGTGTTCTCGAGCGGATCCCGTGGGTCAGATTCGGCATGGAAAACTTTCATCTGATTCGCTCCTGTCTGATCCACAGGTGCTGAGCGCCTATCACAGGAGAGTGACGTTTCAGAAAAATGTTGACCCTGACTGGTTTATGACGGAAGGAAATCCTGCTGCCGATCCATTGCACTCAGCAAGCGCTCAGAATTCACCATCAGCGCTTCCTCAAGTAGCGGGCGTGTCTGAGAGCGTCCTCCAGCCGGAGATTTGGGAATTCCAGACATTCTCACAATCAGGGGGACTCGCTTACCCATGAGTTCAGTGTAGTCTGTCTAAAGAATCCATTCGTTCCGGCGGTTATGGCTCACGAGGGGGATCGATTACAGGAAGGGGCGAGGGTCCGAACGGGCGAACTGATCCTGAACTCCAGAGACGGGAAATTTGATTCATTCCATTACCTGGCCACGCAACTCTCTGAAGTGGGCCAGAAAACGGAAACGACTGAGGTCTCCAGAGAGGCTACGCTCTACATGAACATGTTCGAAGATGGTATTGGTTGTTACATAATCCGAGAATCATCCCGATCTCCCCACGGCGGACTCAAGCCCTCGAGCGCGGGTTCTGGAAGACCAAGTGAAGCTTCCGTTCTCCAGTGAATCAACCCGGGAAGTCCCTCCAGACGCACAGATCCCACGACCCGGAGATCGCCATTCGGTGTGCATCCATTGCCCCTAAGAATCCCGAAATGCCCCGAAAACCCATTCGTCTCTTGAGCCTCGTCCGGTATCGCTTCCGTCAGGTTCTCCCACATTCGCCCCTTCATTAAAGGATACTGCGTTCCTGGAAGGCGAGCCGAATCTCAGTAGGGGATATTTGCTCTTGAAACAAATGTACCTGCATATTGCCGAGCGCAAAACTTCTCCCCGTTCCTTCAATTATCCATCGATAGGATGGAAATAATTTATCGAGAGTTTTTCATGAAGCACACGAGTGGTTGCATTCGTAATCTCACGCCAACTACCGTCTCAGATCATCTGAACCCGAGCACCCAGATTCGCATTAGAAGGTACATCCGACTGAATGGCTCCGGATATCTCGGAGCCATTCAGTCGGATTATCGACGACTTTGGAAAACAGACTGAACACAGACCTTGGTGAAAACAGTAGTAGAACCCAGCATCGTCTGTATCGGCGGCATGATGTCGACCGTCTTTACCGGATATTGATTTAGAAATAAAAAAAGATTGACGATGTGCTCAGTCCGAGCCGACGTGAGCCGCCAGGTAACCCGCTGTCCGGCGTGCGTCCGAAGAGACCCGTTTTCCGTCTCTCAGCCAGCGGATTGACCCGCCCAGATTGACGGATTTTTTCAAGTGCCTACCACAAGCATCAGGACCATAGTTTTTCACAACAGATGTCTCATCCGGAAGTCGTTCTAATCTCGGACATCGAGTAACATAGAAATGCGCAGTGGGATACCCCGTTCCGACAAGTCATCAAAGAGCGAAGCGTTCGAGAGATCTGAATTTTTCGAGCCCGGGAGCCTTAATGGATGCGGACAGCCCCATCCGGTCGCGAGAATGGAGGGGGCCTCCACGAACGACTTTATTGACATCGATTCAAGGCCTGCAACCTTCCTTCGACGGCGATGGAATGTAGCCGAATCTTTCCAGAAAAGCGAGCCACGTCGAGCCTGGTCTGCGCCGATATCTGTCTCGCAGATCGTCAATTGCTAGTTTCACCTGTAACGGAGTATGAACAGACTAATCAGCCTCCCGAAGGAATAACCTCAAGAGCCTATTGGTGGAAAGAATATTTCCCGCAGGTTTATATTCATAAGGGTCCAGCTGTTTGTGATTCAATTCAATATCGACGTTGACAACAGATCATTCTAAACTACTAACCCGTTCTGCGAAATCTTCGGGGCTTTCGTTCTCCCCGCACAATAGGGGTTCGCCGAGGATCGTCCGCAACTTCACCGGAAAGTGCAGCATTGGCAGGTAGGGAACTCGCCGAGTCGCTTCATGAACCTCCGCGAAGAACTCTGACTTCACATAGGAGCGTGGTTACCGTGGACTCTTTCGCTCTCCCGGCCGGCGGCGCGGCGTCGTAGGACCAATCACCCGGGAGCATTCTTCTGACGATGAACGACTCGTCTCCTATCTAAATTCTGGGTCGGAGGGTCCGACCGTGGCAGTCGTGGGAAACTCACCCCGGAAAGCGCAAAGCCTGAGCGGCGTTGCTTCGTTTCCATTGACTGTGTACATCGGTATAATGGGGACTCCGCATTCCTTGGCTGCGGCCGCAAATCCGGTCCGCCCCCTCCACAAGAGTCTGAGGGTCAGAAAATAAATGGACTTCGAAGGTGGACTCCACACATGCGGAGAGAAGACTGTGAAACTTACGTGGTATTATCTCCGAAAACGGCTTCGTAGCCTCCGCCTGGGGCCACCGAGCATATTTCCCCTCTCCTCAATTTCCGAATTAATGATTCCTTCCCGCTGAAGAAGGGCAGCATCTGAGGGGAGTGAGCAGAAATCAGACAATGCTGTATCCGACAGAGTGAGCCAATTACGGAACATGTCCCTGGCATAGATGAAACCTCTACATGTTAGAGAAAGCTGCGCCGCTTACTCTGCAGAGCCCTGGACAGATTTTCACCATTTTCGAATGGATTATCCCGCTCAGCTGTTTTCCGTGTTCGAAGTAGAAATCACTCATCAAGTAGACCAAGTCATATGGGAACAAGAGATGATGGTACACTATGAGACCTCCGGAAGTCTTCGGAATATTTTCTTTGCCCAGAATCTCATGACCTGAGGAGAAATAGTGAGATTTGTCTCGTTCCCCAGAAATGTCGAGCTCGCTGCCAGGTATACCCGCGGCGCATCCAGAGGGAGAAGGTTCGGTTGTGGATGAGGATTTTGATATCGTATGATCACAGTCCCATATTCACCGTGTATCACTTTCCCGTGTATCCTCAGAACCCAGTAGCCGAGATGACTTAAATAAGAACAAATATCCGTGGCGAAGAAGTGGTCAAAAATCATAGCCGGGACGCAAATCAGGGTGCTGAAGGCCGTGAACGCGTGAACGACCAAAGTTGTCGTACAGAACGCCTGTATGAAGATATTCCCATAAACAATCAATGTCAGAGATTTTCAGGATCGACATTGTGTGAAATGTTCAAGTTCACAAAGAATTTCCGAACGGAACGAAGTAGACCCACGATTGCCAATCCCATGAAAATGCTCGGTGTGGAAGTCAGGATGAGGTAGACGACGAAAAAGACAGAGGAGGTGTTTGTGTAGGTGATGAGGTCTGCTAGATGACCCCCGCATATGAGCCTCCAATCAGGGACCTTGGATTGAGCGTCGCTCTCAGTTATTATGCTCCGATCCACAGAGAGGTTCCGAGGGGTAATGCTCCCATCTTTCGATGCCGGGCGTATCATGCCTGCGAGAGAAAATCAATATCACAAATCTGACCCTCGACGCCCAAATCCATTAACTCTGGAGAACTCGACACGGGTCCAGAAACTCCGAATCTCGACATGGCTCGGTCGTCGAGAGCCGGATTGCGTCATTGGCAAGCTAAGAATATGAACTGCGCCTTTATCTATTATCATTTTGTCACGACCTTCTAGTCGACGATCGAGGGGGGAAACTCAAGGTCATCTCTGACAATCTACACTTCCCGGAGTTCGGAAATTCTGTCCCTAATCTATTCCCACCGAAAGCTTCGATTCGGCGAGGAACATTGAGACAAAGAGCTCACCGTTGGCCGGAGGGGGAGAGCGGAGAAACTCGATGACTGACTTTAATCCTAGGCAACAGCCGCGATTTTTTGCATCACAGGATGATCACGAAGATAATAATGAAACCATACGGACGCTCCGACAGAACATGCGAAGTCCGCGAGAGCCAGGACCCTTCAGCGTATGGAATTGCCGCCGATCGTCTGACTTCCGATTTCACCCTTGTATCGTGCAAGACTCAACTAATACCGCTCAAGCGTTTGTGTCAGAGTCACTTTGCGAGTACGCTCTCCACTCCGCGTCTAACAGCATCGGTATTGGAGCGCTGAACAGCGCGAATGAATCCTCGGACGCATCCGCCGGTCATCAACTCCTCACGCGTGAGGTTTCGAGGGTGGGTACAGGAAAATCAGCAAGTCTAACTAAGGAGGGGCACCGGCGGATGCAGCATTTCACCCGGATAGAGTCCGCATCGGACTGGTCTCTTGATTTTCGCTCGACCGAGAGGCTACCAGGGGATGGAAAGTCAAGAGAGCAACGCCTGATTCATGCTCTGTATCCGGGACCGATTTGAAGTTCCGGGTCTCGGTGAAAAGAGCGAGCCAACATAATCCACCATGCCGGGACGCTCGGGAGAGATACTGATGGCAATGATGCGAACTCGAAAGCTCATACTCTCAGCCGCTGATGTGGGTTATTCGCCAGATGTCACGTTCATATTTCAGAGCCTAGCGACGCAGTTCAGAAGAACCCACTAGCGAACGGAACCAAACTAGCTCCATTATTCAGGGTCATCAGTATATCAGGCATGTGCTCGAGCAGCTTCCATCTATTGCCTCGGAGATGGGCTACGGGCGCGTTGGGGATTATGGACGCTCGATGAGGCTCCTAGTCCAGACCTTTGTTTTCTAAAAAGAATAAGAGAAATATCCGCTCCTGGCGTCGTCGCGAAGCCTCTGTTCCGTGGCGGGGGAATCCGAGGAGCAGAGAGAGACTCGAAAAGATATTGTGGCCCATGCCTATGAAAAAAAGTTGTACGACTGAAACTTCAGTTCCACCATCGGTGAGTGCTGGGTGGTGACGCCTACGGCTCGTGACTCGACAATGGAGCCCAGAGCTCCCGATTGAAAATAGGGAGGGGGGCAGACCTCCTGCTACGGTCCCAGAGTTTCCGGAGAGGCCCCTAGCTCAGACTTCGGTCGAATAATTTTGTCGGCCACCGATATTTTCGCCCCATTCTGCTTGGAGCCGTCATTCTTCGCACTTCCCGTGTGAGGGTTCTGAGGGGACTCACTCCGTGTGGGACGATTCAAGAGAAACTCGAAGCCTGCGGACGTTTCCCCCTCTCAGGAATCCGTATTAAATCACCTCAAACGTACCCCTAAGTGCGGAATCCGCTCTCCCTTCTCCGCTATCCTAATTGTTTCGATTCCGCACTTACGCAAATCATTCTGACCTCAGTGCTTCTCCATTTATGGAATCAAATTCTTGAAATCAGAGGGAAACGGTTGTGGAGATCTCGACTTTTTCAATCCTCAAGATGAACTACAATATGAATTCCGAATATTCCATCTCTCTCATGTCCATCAGGTATGTCACTGTGAGAGGATCAACTCATGTCCCTCTTCTAGAAAGGTGCATGAATAGAAGCTGCTGCTCGTACTTGTTGGTTCTACCACTTGGCCCCAAAGTTTGATGAGTTAGAGAATCAGTAGATTCCGCGTGGAGTCCGGTCCCGCGGACTGGAATAATCCTCGTTCCGGTATCCTTCACCCGCTGCCGGTGAAACGGAAAGATAATGATGGTGCGAACTCTGGTCGGCCAGATTGCAGGATCCGCCAGTCAATTATTATCCAGTGTGCTACTCTTGTGACACTTTTAGCGGAAGGTCTCTCGGGGCCGTTTTCCCATGACGGAACCTACGGACAAATATCCAGGGTACCTTTGGTCAGCTCGCTCATTCGCACCTGGATGCCAGCGTCCCGATATGCTCCCGGAGGCATCGGTCAGCTGCGAATTTTCAGGGAAGAGGTCGAATTCCAAAGCCGAAGGCGAGCTCGCTCCCCCTGAAGATCCGCTAAAAAGTCCAGAGAATTTCGATTCATTGAGGGGTGAAAATCGAACAGGAGGAACCCGCCTAAGGAGGGTTTTCATCCTCATTGATGTCCTAAGAAGCGGAGGAGTTCCAATGAATAATCGCTCGACTGATGGTGAATTCACGGTGCGATTTAAAGAATACGGCTGAACGATCTGCGTGTGTGTGAAGATGGAGGAGGTCGCGAGCGCGAACCCAGGTGGCGCCAAAGCGAAGCTGGCCCAGGATTGTGCAGAAGGTGAGCGCTCAACATTCACAATTCAAGTGTTCCTAGGAATTATTTATATTTCGCTCAGGGCTTCATTCTCAGCTCGAGCCGACTTGATTTCAGTGGAGTTTTCCCAGTCCGAGGAACAGATGAAGAAGCTGACTTAGAATATGAATTGCATCCACGCCTCTCTCAGTTGGGAAGGGGATTGTTTGGAGCTATTTTCGGAGTTCCGAGAGTCAAAGGCATTCCCCAGGGGCCGTCTGACTCCAATGAGAATCGTATTTCTGTCGTGAACGCAATCGGTTGAGGAAGCCCAAGAGCGCGGCTTCCAGCTTGAAGGAAATAAATGGTAGCAGGATTCTAAAAACCGTCTCCCGCATCATTGTAATAATTCGTTCATTCTATTCCCGATCTTATTTCCCGGATTCCACGACTTGGAAATCGAAGAATCGATATCAACTTCCTTCCGTTGTAAGATCAATCGAGTCTCGCTGCCGTGATTGGGACTGCACTCGATTCCCTCTGTTCTCCGATCCCTCAAACCCTCCTCAGATAAAGTTCCGCGGAGCGAACTCGATCGGCACACCCGCAGATACCTATCACAAAGGAAGAAAAGCAGGACAACATCAGGGGATGGAATGCTTTGACTGAAAAAACTTCAGGAATGCTTGGAGGGATTCGGAGGAGCATCCCTCTTCTACGTGATGTTTGACGAAAGCCGAACCTGCTTTGGAATCAAGGAGACTTCTCTTCCCCCTCCGCTCCTCCATTCGCTCCCTCGTCCCGGCCCTCAACAAATGCGTCGGATGGGAGATCTGCATCTGAACGAAATCTTCCCCTGCTAGTTCGCCGCCTTCGTGTCTGTCAGCGTTGCCGAAATATCGGGCCAACGCGTCTTTCCCCTTCCGTTCACAGCGGATCGGAGCAACTCACTCCTGATGAGAATGAGATAGATGTAGGGAGATCCTTTGACGGTCGGGAGGACGCACAGCGCAGACTGAAGAGAAATTCTGCCGAAAGAGCTCTTGAATTCGTAGGTCGGCGAGGTCTCTGTCCGCTCCCGAACCACGTCATCCGATTCGCGGTTCGGCGTCAGAATAATGATCCTCGCTCATTCGGACAGACATTTTGATAAGATATCCTCTGGATATCTACCCGCAGTCGAAACTGATATCCAAGGGAATCCTCTGAGATTTTAGTTCCCGCATGGTAACTCCGCTCCGGAACTCCCTCATCGTCGGATCATCTGCACTGACCCTCGCTGGGCCACACTGGTATGACCCTGAAGCAGCGTTTGCACCGACAGGCTCCCGGACGCAGCCTCATCCGACTAAGAGCCGTAGAAATCAGAAATCGATGACTACCGAGAAGTTTCTCGCGTGGAATTTTCATTCGAAGACGGATCGTTCCCTGGAGCTACTTGTAAAGCCCTTTGCGAGGGGACGAGATAGGAGCCGCGTTCGGGAAACGCAGTCACGGAGAGCCGGGGACTACTGAGTATATCCGCTTTCTGATTCAGACTCTAGTTAGCCGTGCGTTGGGTCGGATTCCATGTTTGCAAACTCTGAATGGATCCTCCGACCCCTTCTCTCTGAATACGTTTGAATCCCTCGGAAATCCCGCGCCAGACTCTGAGACCGCGAGCTACAGCCAGAGGAACCCCCGCGAAGAGCTCTCAGGTCAGTGATTCGTTTCCTCCGCGCTTACAACGTTGTAGCTTCCGCTTGGTTCTCCGCACATGGTATTCGAATCCAGTCGCATCGAATCAGTGGGGATTCTGCTTCACTCCCTCCAACTAGCGTCGAATCCTCGCCCACTTGTCACGGGTCACCTTCATAAACCCAGTATCGTATACGTGCCCTCGATCAGTGTTCAGTAAGACCACACAACACCTCGAAAGCCTCTATTGGATGTTCATTGGAGCTGAACCCTCGGGAGCCGTTGTCACAGTTGGACTAGCTGAGGGAGCAACCGCAAGACGGGGGGCCTTGCAGTCGGAGAGCTCGCACTCGGCAACATCGCTCGCTGTGTCCATGGCCCCGACTGTCACGAATCGTTTGTACTTCATTGTCGCTAGTCGTACCACAGGTGAGCCCGAGCCTCTACGAGAGTCTCATTTCGCAGAGACTATTGTCAATGTTGTTTCTCATTGCTCCGGGTCTGGCGTATAATCAGGCGACGCCGATATGAGCGAAACCACGGTATACTCTCTAGATGAAGGAGCATCGTCACTGTCCTACCAGGAGCAAAGAAATATTCGAGGAATGCGAGTTCCCAGATCGACTTATACAATGTCACTCCGTAAGTTCTGCAGCACGCCGCTTTGCCGCTTGTTCGGTCCAGCGACCCCAGTCTCTCGTTCATGAATGATTCGTTGAAAAATTCTGCAGG